CCCCCCCCCCCCCCCCCCAAATTTCCTCACACCACGACCACAAACCTAGTACTAGCTGGCAACATCAGATTTACTTGGACCTGAGGTGAATACCTAAATGCTAAAATATAGTTGTTAGTGCACTCAAGGGTGTGGTCAACCAAGTGGGAGGATAGCTATGAGGTTATAGGTTCAAATTAAAAACACTTGGTGATTTCTTCTCATATGCCTAAACCACCAAGAACTACGGATACTTGTGTCGATGGGAGGCAGTAGGTATCTGGCAGAATAGTCGAGGTGGGTGCAATTGGCACGGACACCATTGTCATTGAAAAAATGGTTGATAGTGAAAATCTACATTTATGTATGTGCTGAATGTATGTTGAAACACCTGAACTTGACAGAAAATGTCGTTACTCTAACATGAATTATGTTCAGCCAATTGAAAAACCAATCTATGATACCATGGTTTACTTTGCTTTGTATATCAGCTTTGTACAGTTGCAGTTTTATTGGTAAACCTAATAGTTCTTCGACTAGGAGATTTCCACCGTTGAAGCATTTTTTCCATTCCACCGGTATTCCTCGATATCTTAGACAGCTACTTTTGATTTGCGTGTTTCATCTTATCGATTGCTCTATCATATGAACCAATTGCATCACTTAATTTTTCAGGAGCTTGTTATTCTGCAGAGCGAGATTACTATGAAATTCTAGGCGTATCTAGAGATTCTAGTCGAGATGAGATTAAGAAGGCTTTTCATGCGGTGAGGATATTATTCAATAGGCTTTTAAGTTTGAATAAGTGGTTTATTGATATTCTATTTGGTGTTAAAAGCTTGTCACTGTCAATTTGGCACCACCTTTTGTTTGCATATGGATCTGTTTCGTTTTTGGTATTGATATTTTACTAGTCATTGGTAGATTGTTTTCAATGAAGAGGCTGGTTATTTAGTAGTTTGTTGTCATTAGGATACATCAGAGTTTTCTTCTTATCCCCCTCCCCCTCCCATATCTGAAAAAGGAATCTTCTTCTTTGTTTAGAGGTGATAATTCACATTGTGTTGGTGTTCTCAGACAAGTGATTCAATTTTTGCACTTCAAGAATTTATTTGCTTCATTTATATTAAGCATTATCTAGCTTAGATCTGTGGCATTTTATCATTTTCTTCATCCGTTCTGTGCTATTTTTAACTGTCTAGTATGTTGACATCAAAACCTTTTGCAGCTTGCAAAAAAATACCACCCAGATGCCAATAAGAATAATCCATCTGCGAAGAGGAAATTTCAAGAGATAAGAGATGCATATGAGGTTTAAATATTTCTGTGCTCTCGAATAATAGTATCGTGACCATGATTGAAGAATTGTTGCATTTCCTTGTACTACTTTCGTATGATTTTTTATGGATTGTAATCGTGAAAGGTGAATCCAGATTTTGCAAAACCCACAGAAGAGAGCACAATATGACATGGTAACATGTCTTTTCTCCTATGGGTTGTATTTTCAAGTTATGCTACATCATGATTCAATTTGATATACTACTAATGATGATTTTTTATTAATTCAGATGAAGGAGCAACCAAGCAACACAGAAAATATAAATTATAATTATGGGAATGGCAATGATTTTAGATATACATATAGCGCACAATTCTCTGATTCGTTTCAGAAAATATTTTCTGAGGTATATTTCTTCTCCACCCCTTTTTTCTCTTTTGTGAAGTGCGGTGATGTATGGAATTTTGCTTAAATGTATATGCTTCAATATTTCTCAGATATTTGAAAATGAGGCTGAAAATCTGACGCAAGACATTCAGGTGGTGCCTTTTGTGATTATGTTCCATTTGAGATTTCCCCAGAAGATCAAGATGGTCCTTAACATATTGGGGTTGGTTTACTTTGGTCCTTGATATATGCACCTTAAGAGATATGGTCCTTAGTGTATAGTAAAAGTGAATTATTTTAGTTCTCTACACTAAAAACTAACTGATCCGTCAAATTTTCAGTTAAATTTAACCCTCGATGATCAGGAAAGAGATTTATGGCGGAGGCGCTAGAGGAGAAGTCGGGGTAGATGAAGGTGAAGGACCGGAATCACTGGTGGAGAAGCCACATCTGCGCTGGATTCCGGTTCTGAACTTAGTGAATTTTCGACGGATCTGTAGAGATACATTGTTGTTCAGACAGAACTCCAAAGAAAATCATGAAAGAAATCATTCGAATCCTTGCAATTGTTAATAATCTTTTCCTGGCTGTTATCATTAAAAAAACACTAAATTAAAATAAATCAAACAATATACAATGTAAAAAAACAATTGCAGATCTAGAGATTTGTGAATTGAAGGAAAAAGAGAGGGGTTTGGTAACTTACATGTTGGCTAAATTTGTTTCACTTCTTTGCTGTACTTCAGTGTACTTTCAAATTTATGAAAGAAAGGATTCATCTTCTTGTGATTTTGTTCCTAGCAGGGGATGTGCCACCATTCTCAAGTTTTTTGTGATTTTTCAGAGCTCCTACTTCTGATGACGGAGAAGACGATAGCTTGGGCCTTTGTTGCTGTGACTTTTGTTAGTCACGTGGTTAGAGGGTTAAACTTAACAGCATTTCTTAAAAATCTGTTAGTTAGGGTAAAGGATCAAAATGATTCTGATCAAAATGATTAACTTTTCTTATGCATTAAGAATAATAAGGACTATATCTGATAGGGTGTATATATCAAGGACCAAAGTAAACGAGCCCTAATACATTAAGGATCACTTTGATCATTTTCTCAGATTTCTCCGCATTTTCAGAGACCTGTTTGACTGTATTATCTTCAAATGGTAGGTGGAGCTTTCTCTCTCTTTTTCTGAAGCTGCTAAAGGATGCACAAAACATCTTTCATTTGATGCAGATGTACCATGTGATTCTTGCAGTAAGTAAAAGCTTATGTTCTCTTTTGATACACATTGTTTAAACTATCTGGCTATGTTTTTGAAGCCTTTACTTTGTGTTGCAGTTGGATGTCTAATTGTCTTTTGCCTCATCTTTTTCTTTGTTTATTATGCTATGTCTTCGTGGAAGCATGGGTAGAGGATGATTATGCAGTTTGTCTGGCTTCTCTTTCTCTCTCTCTGTGTGACATGTTTCTGTTCTCTTTCTCTGTTCTTTTTTTTGAAACTGGTAACTTTAGTCTATATATCCACAGGTATACTACAACAAAAGTGTAGTTCCCCTTCAAAAGTGTTACAACTTACAGAATAAAACAGTCTTAGTCTAAACTGCTGCCTATAAACAATCTAGCACATCAAAGATGTCTTCTGTCCTAGTTAATATATCTTGTTTACACGAAAAATAGAAAAGAGCTAAGCAGTCCATCTTGATCTTGTCACTAGACAGGTGAAGGGAGCAAAAAACTGCTAGCGAGTTCCAGCAGTCATGCTTTTACTCTGCTAGAAATACAGTACTATAGGGTGCTATCCTAATGGATAAATTAGTACATTGATCATAAAGGTCACCCGGAAAGTATGGTTAAAATTTTTAAGTAATGAGGCTACTCTAGTTCCATGAGAGATAATGGTGCTTAACTGCTTATACCTGGAGGCACTATCTGGCTTCATCTGAAGTGAAAGAAAATAATAATTAAGTCTATATCTCAAGAGAAAAGAAGAAAAATGTAATTGTATTCAATCTATTCAATATTATGTGGCTTGACTTGCATAAATTAGTACATTGATCATAAAGGTCACCCGGAAAGTATCGCTAAAATTTATAAGTAATGAGGCTACTCTATTTTCATGATAACGGAGCTTATACCTGGAGGAACTCTCTGGCTTCATCTGAAATGAAAGAAAATAATAATTAAGTCAATATCTCAAGAGGGAAGAAGTAAAATGTAATTGTATTCAATCTATTCAATATTATGTGATGTTGCTTGACTTGCATGAAAAATGATGGAGTTGCTTTGACTTTTAACTATTCCCTCGGTCTCATTTTATATGACAATGATCTTAACTTTAACACTCTGTTATCCTCATCCTCATTCAGATGGTTTGGGCTATCCATTGAATTCAAAGCCAAAAGTATGTCCAACTTGTCAAGGAGTTGGGAGAGTAAGTACATTCAAGTTTCTGACGGTGACCTCATCATATGAGGTTTAACCTTAGTGGAACACCTTCCCCTTTTGCCTGATAATCGAGCAATGTTATCTTTATGTTTTATTAATACTCTCCAACGTATTCATCAGGTTACAATCCCTCCATTTACAGCAACTTGCAGTACCTGTAAAGGATCTGGACGAGTCATTAAGGTCTTGATTTTGATACAATGAACAACTCTCAAATTTGACACAGCTTCAAATGATCATTGCTTGGTTTTCTATCAGGAACGTTGTAGGGCATGCAAAGCATCAGGAGTTGTTGAAGCCATTAAAGACGTTAAAGTAACTATACCTGCCGGTATGCATTGGTTTTTACTTTCCAATTTAAGTGCTACCATAAGGAGTTTAGTTTATTTCTAAACTACATCTGTGTACTATAGTTGAACGTTAGCAGTTTCAAAAAACAATCTGCATACTTCAGTTGAAGTTCTTGTATATGACTATATTCTGCTTAAACAACTAGATGGAAACTTTGTTAGTTCACAATATTTCATATCTTCATTTTTCTCCTCTAGGGTGGGGACTTTTCTGCTGGCACTAATTTCGAGCTTAAACAGCCCAAGATGGTTTTTAGGTGTAAAACTGTAAGTACATGTGGGGTAAACTATATGGATACAAATCCCCATGCCCTAGTATGATAGATATAAGATAAGTTTAGTCGATTATTGTAGGTCAAGAAATTTCTCAACCACTTGGATTTGAACCACCTCTTTTTGAGTGAAATCATATGAACCAAACTTTTCAACGAAAAAAAGGGTGCAGGGGGTGGGGGTGAGGATGGGAGGAGGTATAAGATGATATTGAAATGAGGAGTGTTAGGGCTATATCAGTTAAGTTTGAATGTTGAGGATATAGCATGTGGTGTTTTGCCTCGTATTTCTGCTATTAAATATACAAATGACCAATTTTAGTGAAGATTAAGGTGATTCGGTGCTTTTCCACAAAAGATTTGATCGTATTGTCGTATTTGACCCTCATCATATGATAAACTTCCTGACTATGGAGAACAGATTTCTTTACCAGATTTGTGCTGGTTGTGTTGCCTGGTAAAGTCCTGAATTTAGAGTATAGAGTACAACCCTGAACTGAGAAGATTTAGTGTAGTCAATTTAGAAAGAGGGTTTTGCTAAAGGCAAATATGAAGCTTTACCGCTGAGAAATAAATAAAGATGGTTTAAATAGTAGAATTTGACAGGTTTGCTATTTGATAAGGAGATACTTATCAAAGTGGAAGGGTAAACTCTATAATATGGTTGAGACCAAAAATGTTATGCAGGAGTGGATGTTGAACTTGTAAGGCCTGCATATCCACAGAAAAATATCTCCAAAATGCGGATGTTGAGATGATTGTATGGTTATATAAGATTAGAAATGACCACATTGGACAAAGGTTTTAACCATGTTTTATGTTGGACCTCCAAATGCATTGGTTTATAGATGCGAACTGTGATGATTGGAAGTTCTAAAAGGAGACGGGGTATATTTAAAATAATGAAGTTAAGTTTCAATAGAACCCTATAATCTCTTGGAATCCATGTTGATCTAATCTAACTACGAACAAAATCAATGGAAAGAGATGATCCACTTAGGCAATACCAACTAGCTGGATTAATGCTTAGTTGTTGTTGTTACACTTACATTAGGTCTGGTTTATCAAGAGTCATTTTACTGTGGTTATAGACTTTATGTCAATATGACTACATATGCGGGACTTAGGGAGCTACTTCTAAAAAATCCGTTATTTTGCCTTAAAAATTAGTTTGTAATGTAATAAAAAGAGCTGAACAGATGTAGATGATTCATATTGTTGATCACAACTAATTTCAGCATACCTGATTGATCCTATGTTCATTGGACGAGTAGACATTTCCATATGAAACTTTTTCTGATTTTCATTTTAGTAGAGCATAAGATAGGATTATTGTGATGAACTTACTTTCCGTGATGGATCAGGTGTTGACTCTGGTGATACTATTCGTGTGCCAAAAGCTGGTCATGCTGGCAGGCGAGGGGTGCAGCCAGGCAGCTTATTTATAAAGCTAAAGGTGCATGATCCTCATCTGATTCAAGTCTTACTCTAATGTATCTTCTATATTGGGTCAGCTAATGTGATTTTTTGTTATTGTTTTGGATTTACTACCATGTCTGTGACTTCAAGAATTTTTATGCATGGTCAATCCTTATAATATTTGCATTATATATATAGCAGAAATCCATTAAATTTCTAGCTTATGGATAAATTATGTGATGTCCCTGATTAATAGCAGAAACCCACTAGAGTTTTTCTTTCGACAAGGGAATTGGAATATCCTAATGCATGGGTGATGGGTATGAAGTGAACACCTACAAAGCTAGACATGACCAGGATCTGCTAAGGGTTCAGTGACAGGCCAAAAAGACATTTTCAAGGGGGTGGGATCTTATATTTTATAAAGGGAGATGATACATACATTGCTTGTTTTTTGGACTAGTAAATATGGCTTCCAGCATAGCCTTGGTTCTGAAGATTTATAATATTTGTTCCTTTCTCAAAAAAAGGTGAGATGATATACCCATAATAACGTGTTTGGCGTTGCTTTAGGTTATTTACCCTTCTCTTTAACTATATCTTTTGAGTAGATGGTATTAGGGAAAGGTAAATAAAGGTAGACTCAAAGGCATTTACCTTTTGTAGATGGTCAGAAAACAACTTAAGAGGGGAATGAGAGCTTAAGGTATTTGAAAACTGTGTATTTTGGCTTTTCCAGCCCCTCAATCTTACAACAGAATTTGCTGAATTACTTATGAAAAAGTATTATTATGCAATTAAGATGCACAATGAGTAAACAGATTTCTCGGTTATCAAAAAAAAAAAAAAAAAGAGTAAACCGCCTTTAGTTATTTTTCTGACAAACAAAAAGTTGATGGAGTAGAGGACCATCAGATATCTGATAATGATAAACTAATGTACATTCTGTTAGTTGTAATTGGACCGGGAATGGAAAGACTTCACATCAATTCAATTAATAATGTCTACTTCTTGAGTGCCAAGGAAAAATATATCCGAAAAGAAAGCTGATAAGAGAGTCTAGCTATTTCACTCTACCCAAGTAATAAAGTGGAAGCCGCTTCACTCCGATCAGAAAAAGAAAGTCTCCCAGAGATATTGTTAAAATCCAATCTAACCAGCAAGTTTTGAACACTTACCAAGCTCTTGATCAGTGTGGTATTCACCTTCACTTTATTCTACTCTCTTTAGCCTTTATCTTTATTCGATGAACTCTTGGCGTATTAAACTCAAGTAAAAACTGCTTGAACAAGAAATTGTTCGATTCAGTAGCAGCTCCTTATGTTTCTCCAAAAATGCATTGTGAGGGGATGGAAGCTTTCTGAAATTTATGTGCCCCCTCAATAACTTGATTGAAATATTTGAAAGCAAGTAGGGATAATCATTGATCATCATACTGAAGAATATGACTTCAAATGAAAGCTAACAAGCACATTAATGTTGGAGCTTGGACCATTGTTTGAACGACTGATTTGGCTCAATACCTTCCATATATTTCCTAAAGCTATTACATGGACTGATTTAAGCGTACCGGCAGGCATGCAAAGCGGGTGTTTTTGAGTATCATGCATGGTAACTGCAGTTTTATATATTATGTAGATTCCATGTCATTGTTACCAAAGGTAAAAGCAGAGGTGGTATCAAGTTTCAGCTGGGGCTTTGAGTGCAAAGTGCAATCAAAGTTCAAAAGCATGAGCTGTAGCGAAGAAAAGCGCTACAGAAGAATAAATAAATGTCATACAAGAAAAATGAATATAAATACAAACCTCAAATATGTGGACTTAATCATTGAGAAGCTATAACATATGGGACATATGGCATAAAAGCATGCTATTCTAGTTCAAAAAACATTGTAAATTTATTATTCAGATCCAATTTTTGTTTACATTAGTAACTTGTGTTCTTTTACTAAATTTCTGTTTTCGTATTCCAATTCACCTAGATATTCATACAAAAGTGTCCTCTATTGCTTTGCCATTTATATTTGCTATTTAATGTTGCCCTCCTTAAAACTGATTCCATTGGTAGTTGAGAGTTGAGACTCCCGTGATGCCTCTACTAAAGCTGTAAAGCGCCAGTGAAGTGAGGTGATGGTCAGGTGAAGCGTCTGGCCTGTGCTGCACTGAGCTTCAGGGCTTAAGCACGTTTAAGTGGGCCTTTAACAACATTGATCGGGCCAAGACCTATGTTTTTGTCGCACCATTACACATAGTCACGTTAAGACAGAGAAATATCTTTTGATAATTGACTAAATGGGCATACATTTGGTGCCTTTATCAGTTTAGATTTTCCCTTTTTTTCTTTAAAACCTTTTGTCTTTGGGGTCCTTTTTGTTGACTGGTTTAACTTTGTTTACATGAAAACTTCATGCTTTTTGTTTCGCAGGTTGCTAAAGATCCTCTATTTGCTAGAGAAGGAGCTGACCTTTATGTGGATTATCATATCAGCTTTACAAAAGTGAGAATAACTTTCGTTCTTTCCCTTCTTCTAGGCATGCTAATAAAAGTATATGCTTTACCATATACATTTGCTTCGCTGTTGGTAGGAAGGTATCTGGGTTGTTCTTCTTTTTTCTTGATAAGTTCAAACGGATAGTTGTGCCCTTCATTCTACTCATGTAACTGAGGAGATCCTTGACACACTCTCTCCCTTTTTTCTCTGTGCATCTTAATCAACTTAGTTAAACCATTAGTACCATTATCCAGAAAATAAAAAAATAAAAATCATAGTACCATTATCAATACCGACTCTGAAGCTCTCCTCAATCTTTCTCTCTTCAACAGTCCCATCACCAGATTCAAGCATTGATCACCATACTGAGATCATGACTTCAAAATTTCATCCCATTCTAGTTGGCAATGATTAGAGGTTGTTTAGTTTTTTTTCGTTATCATTAAAAGGCGATATTTTAAAAGACAGCATTAAGAAAGTGCTTTAAATATTTACAGGGAAAGGGAAAGATACATTACAGATTGTGTAATGAGCTCGATAAGTCTATCATGGCTTCATGTCATTTGCACTAGCCAGATTACACCAAAAAAGCAGTAGGGATTTGTTCTATATGGACCACCAAATAGCTGAAGGAACTGAATTCCATATTTGCATTTTAGTCTTTCCGAGACCTTTCCTGTACCAGTACTGCAGCAAATAGTAGTTACCTTAGGCATTGCCCACTTGACCCCCAAAGCTTTTTTTTTTTTTTTGAAAAGGTAACTTGTATTATAAACACAGGAATACTCAGGACGTATTCCAGTAATACTTACAATCAGAAATACAAAAGTGATGTTGTTTTCCTATGAACTCCTTAAGGACTCTAACATACTAGGGATATCCTCATCTTCATGAGGATATTCATGTTTACACCAAAAATAGAAAAGAGCTAAACAATTCAGCTTCATCTTCTCCATAGAGCAGCTCTTGTTCTCAAAACATCTTTGATTCCTTTCCAGCCAAATAGTCCACCAAATGCAGGCTGGGACAATCTTCCATCTCTCCCTGTGCCCCGACTGATTTCCATCCCGATTCCAACATGCCAAAGCTTCCTTTATGTTTCCTGGCATAGACCAACTGATGCCCCTTTTATTGATGAAAATTTGCCAAAGTTTCACTGTCTCCTTACAGTGTAAAAAGAGATGATTTATTGTCTCTGTCTCACATTCACAAAAAAAACATCTGGAGCACAAATCGAGGCCCTTCTTCATACGGTTATCCTGCGTGAGAACAACCTGTTTTGCTAAGAGCCAAGTAAAACAGGCCACCTTGAAGGGCACCTTAACTTTCCAGATCATTTTCCATGGCCAGTAGCTTGATTGAGTGTGTGTCCTCTGTGAGTTTCTGTAAGCTGTTCCAACTGAGAATCTCCCCTGTGTATCTGGAGCCCATAACAGTTTGTCTTCACTGTTACTGAGTTCCTTGTATCGTTCCAGGATATTTAGTAATTCAACCATTCTATTCACCTCCCAATCATTTAAAGGTCTTCTGAACTTTAAATTCCAACCTTGAGCATCTCTCATTTCTTTGACAGTGGCCACTTTCTGTAGACTCAAGCTGAATAGGTCAGGGAAACTATCTTTAAGTGAAGCTTGTCCCGCCCAAACTTCCTCCCAAAATAGAGTTTTTCCACCATCTCCTATCTTAATTGTGCACTTGTTTATAAGTTTTGGCCATAGATTCCTGATTGTCCTCCACACTCCGGTGCCATATGGTTGTGTTGCTATGTTGCTGATCCACCTTGTCTCCATTCCATATCTAGCCTTAATGGTATCTTTCCACAGCGACTGTTCTTGTGATGCAAATCTCCACAGCCATTTCATTAGCAGGCTGTGGTTTTGTATTTTCAGATTCCTTGTTCCTAGTCCCCCTTCTTTCTTGCTGACTAAAACTTCATTCCACTTGACCAAGTGAAACTTGTGCTTATTCGGATCGCAGTTTCCTTGCCAAAGAAAATTTCTTCTAATGGCATCTAATCTGTCTCTTACACTTGCTGGCATAGGGTACACCGACATCATGTAAGTAGGCAAAGCATCAAGAACACTGTTGATGAGAGTAGCTCTGCCACCCAGGGATAAATACTGACTTTTCCAGTTGGCAAGCTTCTTCTCACATTTCTCCAGTACATTGTTCCATATGCCTTTTGATTTGCTCTTATCTCCTAGAGGCATTCCCAGATATATTGTGGGCAGCTCCCCTATCTTTCCTCCCAGAATATTTGCCATACTGTCAATTCTAGGTACCTCATTGACTGGATAGATGTAACTTTTGCCCCAATTAATGTGTAGACCTGAAGTTGCTTCAAACAATATCAATATTATTCTTAAAAACTTCAGTTGACCCCCAAAGCTTTTGTGGGAACCAGATTTCTGAAGTGAGTGAACAGTGAATGGAAAGGTGATTAATGTCCTCAAATTGGCTCTCACACAAAGGGAATCTACTGTAAATATCCTTTTTTGGGAGATTCTTGTGATTGAGGCATGCACCTACAGCCAGCCATGTGAAGCATTCCACCTTCATAGGTGCCATGTTTCTTCAAATGCACTTCCATGATCAATTGAGAATGAAATTTGAGTTCCTCAAGAGTCGCTTAAGGAGATTAAAAGGGATACACTTTTCAGTATCTGAAGCATTGAAGAAATGCTGTCTACATCTACAATCATTTATGCTTCGCCTGATATTGAATTCCAGCCGGGAGTGACCAATACTCTGAAATTGTAGCATCCGGATTCTGTGCTACACTGAAAAGTATTGCAAATTTCTCCCTTAATATTGCTTGACCATGCCAGACATCCACCCAAACTTTACTCCTGCCATTACCCACTTTAAATGAAGAGTTGGAGTAAAATGTGTTTCAGTGAACTCTGATGCTTTTCCAAATTCCATTAGGGCTGTGAGTTTGTGTCTGCTAGGTTGTCAAATGATTGAGAAGCCTATATTTTGCAGTGATAACTGTTCTCCATAGAGCGTATTCTTCGGCAGCGAATCTCCAAAACTATTTTTGCAGTAAGGTGATGTTTTGGACTTTCAGATCTACCACTCCTAGCCCCCATCCCCCTAATTTTCTATCCAAGTTCACTATGTTCCACCTAAACAAATTAAAAGTTTTGTGTTCTCTGTCCTTGCCAGAGAAAGTCTCTCCGAGATTGTTGAGTTTTAAGTGATACTGATTAGCAAGATAACTGGCTGTAGATAATACTGAGTGGGTGGATGATAATGCTGGTACATGGGATTGCGGATGATAAAAGTATCTTGTGGTTGTCTTCTGATGGTTTTATTTTCCCCCCCTACCCCCCCCCCC